GACAACATGATTTCTTCTTAATGGACACTACACTAATAACTGGTCCTTCCTTTATGGGTTAAAAAGTGATAATTCTACCTTGCTGAGACTTTCTATCCTAATTATGTATATAAGAAATGGCTGCATAGTGAGTTCTGTGTAAACACAAAGAAGCAAACACATTTTCTGTTGACTGTTGTGAGCCATTGCCCTAAAAACAGTTTGGTATTCTGCATTTTAGATTCTAGATATCCTCTACACAATTGTGACTTTTCTCTCTTCCAAAATATAGTCAACCATAGAAATGACATCCTGTATCTAAAGAAAAATCTAGGTTCACTCTCCTCATATACCTGAAGCTGTAAGATTTCTCACCATCCCATGGATCCCCGGTCTGCAAACCAGTTCCTTAGAACTGAACCTTGATATTGACATGGGTAAGACCTAGTCTCATAAGACTTGTGTGTTTATTTTTTTCCCCTGACCTCTTACCTTGGACACTGGAGTCTAAATAAATATTATTTGACATTGTGCAGGAAAAAATTGCTCCTCTGTGATTACACGTACATGTGCAGTAGCGAGACAATTCCTTAAACATTGAAGTTAGAATACTCACCAAAAAGTTCGTATTTGTCAGTCTACACTTAGTGTTTATTTTCTTCATAGAACTCTTACTGTCTTGTTAGAACACAGCAGTAGTTAACATGTTAGGCTAAATTTGAGGCTAAAAGAATACTCAGAAGACTAATTGTACTGTGGATTTCTGCTGGTCTATGGAAAGAAACAGTTAATGGTTTTTTTTTTTTTTTTTCATCTTTCAGTTTTTTCCTTTTCATCTCTTCTTAATTACTTATGACTTTTTTTTTCTTTCTTTTTCTAATTTTTCATGAATAGATCTATAACCTGAACAACTAGTTTAAAGACAACACTATGCAATACAACAAACACTGTCAAATTCTATTTTGTTTAGTGAAATTCTGTAACATTTCTAGTTTTTTCTTTTTATTACCTATTTTTTCATTCTCTTAAAAAAAATACTTAGAGGAAAATTAATTGAAAAGTAACACTAAGGCCAGTACCTCCAAGCACCGTTATAGCAAGCGGGAGAAATACAGGACCTTTGGGATAAATGGTCCAAGATTTGAGCTATCATTTTCATGTCTTGACTATAATGAACTAAGTGCTTCAATAGAACAGTCAAAAAAAAAACCCGCTAAGATACATTGGCGTTTGCAGTTTTCTATAGAATATTCCTACCAGCTGGTTAAGTAGGGAATCTCTGATATGCTAATATGGGTCAGGCAGTGCCCTAGCAATAGAACAGTGACCCACGTGAGAAACAGACTCTGCCCTTGTGGAGTTGACATTCTGGTAGGGAAGACAGATGCTGATCAAGTATCATGCAGATAATGCAAGCTGTAGTTGTAGTAACTGCCACAAGGGAAGTTGGTGCTGTAGAAGCTTATCACAAGGGACCTGGCTTGCCACCAGTGAGAGAAGCTTCCCTGAAGAAGTTAGTGCTGAAATTAAAAGTCTGAGGAGAAATTCCTAAGTTTCACAGGATTGTACCTAAGTCTTTTAAGAACAGATTTATTTTTATTTATTTATTTATTTATTTTTTGCGGAACTGAGAATTGAACTCAGGCCCTTGTGCTTGCCAGGCAAGTGCTTATTCTACTGAGCCATCTTCCCGGCCCCAGGACAACAGATTTGAATGAGGATGGATAGGTCCCTGTCAAGGCCCGGTACTACCAAGTGCATAGCCCAGGTGGGGATGCTAGTGAAGTGTGAGGAAAAATGAGACCAAAGAGGTCTCGAGAACCAACCAATGCATGAATTTAAGGCTGAAAAATGAAGTCTGAGGGACTCCAAAAATGAAAGATAGTGATGTCATATTTTGCATTTTTATTCAAGTAATAACCACAATATAGAAAAGAGATAAAATGGGTATGGCTAGATCAGTTAGGAGTCTATTGCAGATACAACTGGAGAAATGAACACTTGGGCTAGGATGAGGGAGGGGACTCAGGAGCGACCTAGAAAGTACAACGGACATCCACTCTTGGTACATTGATATCTTGGAAATCCTATGATAAGGAACTAAAAGGGCATGATTCTGATGTATGGGCTTTTATTGATGAGATAGTGGTATTCCTTATCATGACAAATAATACTGGGTAAGAACCAGGACTGTGGAAAATGACTTGAGTACAGTTTCATGCAAGGTGAGATTGAGTTGGCCTTGAGAAAGAAGCAAGGGGATCTGTGGGCATGGAGCTCTGGCTGGGACTGTGGTTGGTGAGCCATGTGGGTGTGAGCTGGCACAGAAGCCACAGGAGTTGATGAGAAAATGCGCTATCATTATGTCACCTGAACACTCCACAGATGCCCAAGCTGTGCTAGGTGCTCCTCCAGTAAGACAGGATGCATGAAATTGGACAATTCTGAGAATCTAATGGTCAGTGAAAGTTAGGGTGATCTCAACAGTTCACAAAATTGAAATGGAATATTATTTAAGATATGTATCGACATTTTATTACTTTCTTAATCTTACACTTTCACACATTGTTCATACAGCGGACTGTACTTTTAGGGTTGTACCGCAGTGATTCTTCGTTCCGAAAGTCTTACTTTACATTCAGTGAACAGGGAGAAGTTCATGTTAGTTTGTTGTGTTATTGTTTAATTTTCATGTGATTACAATTCTTCTTGCTACTTAAACTTGAAGGCCAGTGAGTATGCCTGCCTATGACAAGGTAAATGGTCGTATGAGGCAAGATTACAACAAACTACACTATCAGGGTAATAGAACCCTGTTCCCTTTTAATTTAAACAACTCAAGGTATCTTGTTGGATGGAGAATAAGGACCATTTCATTCGCTGAGTTTTACTTGGAACCTTTTATGTTGGAAGCATTGGCTTGTGTTCTGGTGACTAAAACAGGCAAGTATGTTATGAAACACAATAAGCAAGATTGATTTTAATTGTCTGTATGGTACATTGGCATAGTTGGCGCCAGATCAGTATTGTTGAGGGAACTGATCTAATGTCCCATTTAAAGCTTATGAAGCTTATGGAAGAGTGTATAATAAACAACAGGAGGGGCTGGTGAGATGGCTCAGTGGTCTAAAGCACCTACTTAGGACAAGCTTAGCAAAGCACAGGGACCGCGGTTCAATCCCCCAGCACCACATGCCAGCCAGCCCCGCCCCCTGGTGGGCTGAGCTGGCCACACACACACACACACACACACACACACACAAATAAATAAAAGAGGAGAAAGAATTAAAAAAA